ATTAAATTCCCTTTCAAACGTGGTTTTATCTCTTTGAATAATCATGCCTTGCTTTGAATTTTCTAAAAAGAAGCAAAATGTTCGTAAAATCGAGTTAACCCAGGCCAATAGAAAAATGCGGTAATGCAGATTCTTATTTGTTATATTTCCCGTCATGATATTTATCATCCTGAGACATCATAGCGTTGGTTTTCTTACCACCAAGAACGGCATTATTAAAAAAGTCAACAAATTAAAGCTGTACGCCGACGTTTATTCAAAGTATTCAAGTCACATGTACATTCTATTGAGAATTTCTTTGTTCTTTGGTTATTATTTTGTTTTGTTTTGTTCGGTTTTTTCTTTTTTTTTTTTCTTACTGACTTGCGACAGGTATTTGAGACCAAAAATAGCGTGATTCCTGTTCTAGAAGAAGGATGTATCTTACTCTGTGAAGCCAGGGTTAGCATTAGGTTTAGATAAAAATCTTGTAAATTAAACACCCTATTTTGCAAATGTATTAAACAAAACAACCCATAAAGATGCGGCGACATTGAAATACAAATGAAGGAGAAACACCTAGACTATCATCAAAAGACTGAGATCCTCACCGAAAACTTCGCTTAAATCTAAAAAAAACTTCTGGTACCCGCTGACAGTGATATTCTGCAACAGAACAACTCCTTGAAAAACACTCGTTTCCTAGTGACAAGAACACGTCCCAGCGGAATGCAATTTACATGGGCTACCACCTGCTATTATTTCGCGAGGAAGACATCCTAGTTTCGTGATCACAAATGTTGGAATCTTACCTTTAAACAATAGAGAGAAAGACAGCCGTTTTGATAAGAAATCCCTCTGGCTATTACCTCATAATAGCCTTAAAATGAGAAGAGGCGTTGTGAATTCTTAAAACTTTTCCCGACGGTGTATTCAGTATAAGATCAAGTCGCAATTCAGTGAAATCAATTGCACAGCCAGAACCATAAAATGCGTTTCAAAAACCGTAACCTGCTGGTACAATGTCGTGTACTGGACGTTGAACAGAAGACAATAAAAAGACAATATGAAATGACTCTTACGAAGTTGCAAAAAGGGACTTAAAATCTCTTAATGAGTCTAAATTGTATTTATTTGTGTTCGTTTGCATCGAGCCAACACGATCTATTTTGCCTTTCTTACTTCTGATATTGCAGCTACTGAACACTAACAGCGTCGTCACATGTTGATTTTGAATACGAGGGAGTTTTGTCTAACATATTGTTTTGAATGTCATTTAATGAAACAGAAGTGATGGTTCTCTTTGAACAGGATTCCAGCTTGCTAACAGCAAACTAATAATTGCTTGCAAACAATGCTTCCCTTCTAGTGTCAATATTTTGAACGCCTCATAAATATGTGGGTGACCCCATGCAAACACGACTTCCCAATAGTTCTGCCTTGAAACATCCGGATTCAAAAATCAGTCCTCCACAAATATTTTCCCATCGTTTTTATAAGAGAATAAATCAGCACTTATTTTTTTCAAAATAAGAGGCGGTGTCTCGGTATCCATGTGCTTTGAAATGAGTTTTTAGTCGTGAACTGACCGAATATCATTATTCTCAAAATTTGTCTCACGGGCGAACCCAGAGGGTCAGTACAGCTGTTTTCCCTTGCGAAAATTGTAATTATGGTCATTATTGAAGCGACTAAAGTATCGGATTTAGATCTTTCTCCTAACGCCCGCAATCAACCCTTCAATCACATACAATTAATTATTTTAAGAAAAGCTGGATTGTTTTCTAATGTCTTTCATGACAAATAATAAGCCAAGTTAATGACGATCTGTGATTTATTACAGATGTGGTTCATTCGTTTTTTGGAAACATGAGAAATATTAAAAATTATTTGTAGTACGAACCCCTCAAATTCCCGCTTTTCTGACATATCACAAAGAAGAGTGAAATTAAAAGAGGACTGAGTACGACTGAGGATATCTTCTAACGAAAATAGAACTCGAACTTTGCATCTAGAGACAAGATATGAGTCCTAAAAGATTTCCACCACAGGCCTTATAATTTTGCTGTAAGATGCTCTTTCATCAAGCTACGGAGAACTCGTAGCCAGATACGTGGTTATGTGAAATGTATGTTGACAACCAATTTTCTGTGACTTGGTATCACGACATGCGACAGTGAATCTGAAAGTTCTTCCTGGTTTAAGACTTGGATTGTTTTCCTTTTCTTTAGCTCTCAAAAAAATGTATCCTTGGCTTACTCTCTGTTAACATTCAAGAGATGAACAAAAAGAATTCTTAGCACTAGTTAGTTATCATCATTACTTTTTAGATAAGTTTGTGCTAAAGGAAATAAAGGCGTCAAGTATACTGCGTTTGTTGAGTTCTCCTTTTTTTTATTAAAAGCCACACGAAACTACCCATAAATATTTAAAATTGATATTTTAAATAACCGTCAAACCGGTCTGTATATATGCTCCATGCATCTTTTTCGTCAACAAGGCCGATTTATTCCATTGATAGAAATTAGAATAGGAACAACCACGTACTTTCAAACACTCAAACCACAAATCAATTAGGCAAATGTTTTGTACAGAGAGGCTTGTAAACTGACATGAAGATCTGCTCTCTTATATCTTATTACACCCATACGGCCGGTAAGTGCTAGTTTGAGATCGTCTTCCTTCATTGATGACATGTGTTTGTGAAGATAAACATTTGATGCGCAGTTCGATTGTGAATATCAACAGGTGCAACAGTGAGGAGCACATCATGATAACAAAAAGATTTGATGGAATTCAGGCAAGGGCAAGTGGGTCGATCATATTATTCGCAACCTCCTGTAATTCATGTTAAACAAAGATTGATACTGTTGATACAAACACGAGGTTTAACCACTCACATATACAAATTAAAAACCCGTGTTTACACAGCTGCTGACTCTGTTTGATTTCGGAAGCGTCTAGTTCGCGCAAGCGAGTACCTGCAATACGAAATAGAAATGAATTGCTTATGTGCAAATATTCCATGTAAAAATCCTCGTGGTCTTCGTTGGAAACAAACACTTCCCTATGTCTGATGAAAGAATGGCTGTACTACTTTGTTTAACAAAAATGTTAACACTGCATAACTTGCGAAATGCGCTTACCAAATAATGTTCGATTTAAGTGGGAAAGATAACGATTTAAAAAGCTTTAATCACGTTCCTTCTAAGCTTTATCTTTAGGAGAATCTTAAGGCAATTTTAGGAACCAAAGAATCCCAGCATCTTCCCGTCCGATTAAAAACACCTCCAGCTGCTTTTAGATCTAATCTGCCTAACAATACTAAAATGACCGCCGCACGCCTGCACGTCTTGAATTCAAATTTACTCATTGCAATTCGTTAAAACAATCTTGTTCTTTGTTTTGGTTCTTTAGACATTTCTACGATAAGAGAGCTTCTTGTTCGCTATAGAAATATTGGCTAAATGATTTTTCTCCCGTCAACAGCACTGTATCGTCTTTGTTTGAAAAGTATGTTGATCGGAGTTTGTCCTTTCTTTCTCCAATGTCGATTGCCGCGGTAACTTAAGCCAAAAAGTGCCTCAAGGTTTTTGTTACAAGTCAAGGTGGGCATAAAGTTTTTTCAAAATCATGCGATGCAGTATCGGCACTCTTAAGGAACTTCGTGGGGGGCGATCACACCTTTCTTTTGTTTACTATTTGTGAGCATGTGTTGCCAACAGAAAGCTGATAATCGGACGAAATATGGAATTTTGACGTCAATGAACACGCGTGTACACACCCACACACGCGCCCATCTTTTTGGTCTCACAAAAAAAAATATTACGAATGAATAAAAAAGAGATGAATTGGAAAAGTTAATAGTCCCAGTTAATTCTATTCATTCACACGTTAGTTTTACGTCATTATAAATGAAAATAGAGTAACGATTGTGCTTGTCTATTGATGTAAGAATTCCTTTTTTTGTTCTAAACGGAGAATAATTTGTTATCAAATGACACGTGTAATCTATGTCCCTCAAGATGCCTCGTGATTCGTAAATTTTTTTTTGTTCGTTGTGCGTTAGAGTTGAGTGCCGTTTACCCGTCATACTCAACGCCACACTGGTTCCTTAAATAACCAGATAACCGCGGCCTCTTCTCCTTTCAGAAGAAGAAAACACCTATCTTCTTCCTCAGAAAGACGCGTCGGTTAATTTGAACTTTATTATTGGGGCACGGATTTTGAATTTGACTACCATGGCAAACAGGCTTATTTTGGTGAGAGTAGGCTAACTCGAGGCGAACGCGTTTTGTTTTCGCTCTCCACCTTTAGCGTGTGTCTCACCCCACAGGTTTGCCTCTGCTCGACTGAGGAACGCAAAATAAGAAAGCTTTTTTTTCTGGTTATCATTCTCCTCTTTAACGGAATCAGCTGATGCTATCCCTTACATCCTTGGGTGCCCGAATATTGTCGACACTGATCACAATAATCGCCGGATCATTTGATCAAACTGGATAGTCCCGCCTGACGCCGGGAAGTAGAGTAGAATTTGTTTCACTCAGTCACAAACTCAGACGGGGAAAATGGCAGGGGTTGTAGGCTCTGGATAACAGTTAGTGAAGGCGAAGGACGAAAGAGACAAATGACTTCATGTAATGGTCATTATATGAACGCGTTGAAAAGGTTCAAATTACTATCGCGTTTTCAGTTGAAATCTATCAGTGATCTAGAAGTTCAACAACGATGGTAACCTTTTAAACTCAGGCGTTTTAAAGAGTATTATTTGAATTATTTGTGGCAAATTAAAAAAATCCTTAGTAACATATCATGGATGTTCCATTTCATTGCTGACAGAAAATTCCACAATAAGAATAAACTGTTTATGCCAAGTGATTGTTGATAAAAGATTTTTTGAAGTTAGGGGGGAAAGCGCTGAGAAATTCAAAACACATTTTTGAAAAAAGGTTGGGGTAGTCTGCATTGGTTTTGTCCTTAAACGACTCGATCAGTTACAAAAGACAGAAGTTAACTCGCTATTTTGCATTAAGTTTTTGAAAAATGCAAATTAAGACATAAAAATATAAGTCAAAAGAACACCATATATCTGCTCTAAAAATATTCCACTTTTCTTAAATTTCTTTTGAAACAACTTTAAATTTGTCATTGTGCTCAAAAATAACTCCAAGCCAAAGTATTACAAGAAATCATTCAGCTTCGCAGTCTGTTATTTCGTTCTTTCAGCTTCGTAGTCTGTTATTTATATACACGTAAACTGTCCCATTAATCGAGCCACAGTTTTTTCAAAGTGAACAATACTTTTCCCCTTCATTTCCTGGTCCTCCTTCTAGGCTGAAAAAATGCATCTTTGGTTTTCCTTTACTTCTGTTATTAGGACACATCGCCACTTGAAAGACCATGAAAGATGAAAACCTTTCGTCCCTTGAAGATGTTGTAAGGAGTGGTTTTCTTCATCGTCGTAGAAACGTTAAGACTCCTTTCAAGTTAAGTCTTTGAAGCTTTCCTGAAGTCACGTAAAGAAGAGCCTCCGCAAACTGAGTTCAAGCTCTTTGACCTTTTCATTCTTTATACGATGAACTGAAGACAGAAACTAAAAGATACAAGAAGGTGAGTGTCGTATTAGAATAGGTGGCTGTAAACTGTTCAAAGTCACTATTTTCCTTGTCACAATCGAAGAAAGATAACTTACCACTGAAGACTTCAACAAAAAATTCCCCATAATATCACCTTTCAAATTTTTCATTTGAGAAATGCAAAAGTCATTATCAATTCATCACGCCAAGTTTGAAAATTCGGAAATTTTTGGCGGAATCCGTTGCAAACTTATGAAAGTATGATAGCTTTTTACCTCCTGGTATTCCCAGCTTTTCAAAAGTTTCTCACGTCAGGGACGGGCCCTCATGATATTACAGTGTCACATTTGCTAAATTCGATCTTATCTACCAATCAGCGACATCGATTGCTGCGTTTCACAAAATGTTTTAAAGCCCTATATCATCAAAGTGGTCCATTATAGGATTCACCTTCACCGCTTGACTGAAAATTAACATGGCAAAAACAAAAATACTCATTTATGTAAGGAGTGACATTAATTCTCTCTCTTTTTCTTACCTCGCTTTTTTTGTCATCAGCGAAAGTAGATGAAGATATATCTAAAAGATTCAACAAGAGAAAACGTTATCTTAAAATTGACGACTGTGGTGAAATAAAGAACTCTTCTTAAAGCACACGTATACCTCGTGTACTTGGCACAAAGAGTCTCTAAGCTTAATCCTCACCTCTTCTTGAACGAACTGCATTCCTGTCAGGTTTCCACTGCTGCTCCTTCATCCCTTGTACCAGTCTCCGACGGTCAGATGTTGGACTAACGGTAGTCGGATAAAGCTTATTCGTTTCGCTTTCTTTGGAAATTGCAGAGAGAGGTAAATCTTTTTCAACAAAATCTTCCGAAAGATCTTCTCTCAACATTGGTAAGGACGAATTTATCGCAATTTGTTCGTATGAATGATCTGGAGGATTTTCGTTCGGCTCCAAACCCAGGTTTCGCTTGGTCACGATCCTTGTGTTTCTCATCCCGTAGTCCAAGCCAACTTCTTTTTTAACCTCTACGTCATGTGACACAGAGTTGGGTTCGAGTTTATCAAGTGAGGTTTTGCCATGAAAATGAAGAGGCAAACTTGTGTTTTGACTCACCACATCACGGCATGGAACTTCCTCGTCATGTTTCACAGATCTTGCATACAATTTATCATCGATGAGAGAGTCAAGGGAGCGTCTGGGTCTGACAGAAATCAATTTCGTATTTCTTTCAGTCACATATTCTTTTAAGTTAAGTGGAGAACTTTGTACATTAGCGCCTTCATTCAACGTAACCAAATGATTCCTTTGACTTGTGATTAAATCCTTTTCGTCTTCCAGTTGACGTAATCGTCTTCTTAGTTCGTCAATTTGTTTGTTAGAGTCTGCAACTTTCTCTGCTTCAACTCTATCTCTCAAGAGCTACATAAAATAAAGAGGAAGTGGCAACAGTTATTGAGTATATACATGAAATGTTTTATGTTTGAAACACTTTAGAAGTGTTTCAAACAGTGAAACTCAGTGAAAGTTACGGAAAGGTTCATATATCGGTATGTTCTTACTTTATAACGGAAGTCCTGGACACTGACATCTTTCCTTGATATAACCTGAAGAATTAAAATAAAACATAAAGGCATGCTCTCCATCAACTCAAAGTAAAAGTTACTCTCAATACATGCCTCTGCCAGAGAGAGTGAAAGAAATGCAATAGAGATCTTAAATTTCAGAACAAGTTGAACTACCATTCAGGTTTTATACGGAATGCTAACAAAACATGTGCCTCGTAAAGCTTTATTGAACTCTTTGTGAGCAGCAAAGTTTGAACCATTGTTTTTATCGAACATAAATGAATCTCACTGAACGAAAATTGATAAAACTACTGATATGTTAATACCTCAATCAATAGAAATAAACTCATCTTGTGATGTTGGCGGTTTTTCAGTTTTTCCTGCACGGATAATGCAGGTCGCACGCGCCCTCTACTACACGTTTGGGACAACTCGAGCTCAAAGTGGTAGTAATCCCATAAACTAACGGTCTGTGATTAAAGATTAAAACTAGACTGGGTAAAAAAAGAGTAGTCTAGCTAAGAGAGATACTTTCCCATGATTTCACTAGTATCATTCAATATACCTCTTCCAGATTCTTTAACTTGCTTTTTAGTCCTTCAAGGGAAGCTTCTGCCCTTTTTCTTTCCTCGTCAAGAATGTCCGCCCTAGTTGACATCTGTTTTCTAATTTGAGCCTGAGAATGAAAGTCAATAACTTCTCAATCCATTCATTTCTCGGTCCTGTAACTTAGAAGGGTCTGCAAAATGTGACAATCAATCAAAACTTACTCGTAGAAAACTCTGTTGCTGCTTAAGTAATGCTCTCTTCTCTTTGATTAGTGCGTCTTCTTTCTGAAAAACACAAAAAAGAGTTATTGACGTGGATATACAAAAACTACAAGAATCCCAGTCTCTTCTGTAACATACTAATTACGGCATCAGCTTCTAAAATCCACATTCATATTTTTTACTATACTCAGGATTGTAAGTTTGTTGTAGCGCGGGGGAATTTGCCTTGTTTGGATAAGTCTCGTATGCACGGGTCAGTTAATATTCATCACTTGATATTTCTTACCACAGAAACAAGAGACAAAGATTACTGTAGACACAATTCAAATACTACAGTTATACACCTTACCTCTCTTTTGGAATTTTCAGATTTTTGTTTCTCCTCCTTCAATACCAATTTCCTGGCCTGAAA